CATCTGGACAACATTACAGTTAGTAACCATAACAACGTTTTCAGGTTATATTCGATATTTAAGGAGTGGTTTCACTGTTGCCATTCCCTGTGAGTTTTCATTGTCGAGCAGGGATTTAAAAGCAGATTTCTTGAGTTCTGAGCCCACATTGACTTTACTGCACCACATTGGCATTCATAGCGCTTTTAAAGTTTTAATTTACTTAAAATGTTTGTTTCTCACCTGACCTTCAGTCAATATCCTGCAATGTTTCCTGGATTCTACAGGTGGCTGGGTGTGGGTGAACAAACAAATTAAAGCCTGATAGGAGGGAGGTATTGCTGATTAGCTGTTGGATGTCTGATTTAGGGACTGGGATTTAATCCATTCTAGAAGAGATTGCACTCCCTCAAAAGGTCTGGTTTATTAGCTGGAATTGTGACCAGGTTCGTAATCTGAGTTCCCCAGCTCTGCATCATCCCAAAATTCCTAGATGACAACAGTGACAAAGAGTGGTTTAGCTCTACTTGACTTCATGCACCAGCCCTAGCCTGTCACAAATCCTGGTGATGGTGATCTAGTGGTGATTTTTACTATTAAAGGCTCTCCCTGCACTTAAATCTAAGGCTCACAAAGTCTTCTCCAAGGCAAAAGGGAGCCCTAAGGAGGCTCAGGATCTAAAACACGTGTGATAGGAAACCTTTAATTACTTTAAATTAGACGCTTCTGATTGCCAATCTGGGTTATGTTGTCCAGGTTAAACAACAGGGTTTTATCCAGAATGTTTCAAGGACAATGAGAGTGTTAATCTTGAGATTAATACTTGTGATGAATTGTTGCTCTTGATAGGTTTGCCAAAACCATTTGTATTTTCTTGCATCCCCCCTTTAATAATGATGATGTTTCTCTTATATAATACCAGTCAATATTTTAATAATTTTGATTGATTGTGCCTGGTATTTTTGATAATAATAATATACTACTACTACTACTAATAATAATAATAATAATAATAATAATAATAATAATAATAATAATAATAATAATAATAATAATAATAATAATAGAACTGAAGGGTTAGATAACCTATGGTCCAGCCCTTGTCAGTGGGGCTAAGTGGGGAATTGAACGCTCAACCTCTGGCTCCACAGACTTAAAACATTGACTTATCCAGCAGTTCCTTCATAGTAAGAAGGCCATTAAAGGGGAAAATTGTACATTCACTTAACAAAACAGTGTGGGAAATATTAAAAATAGATTCCTTTGTTCTCTTCCCTCCTTCTGTGCTATGATGCAGAAACAAAAAACTGCAAAGAGCCTCCGTGTGCAGTGGTTAAACTGCAATACTGCAGTTAAGCCTCTGCTCATGACCTGTGTTCTATCCCTGTGGGTTCAGGTAGTTGGCTCAAGGTTGACTCAGCCTTCCATCTTTTCAAGATCAGTAAAAAGAGTACCCAGATAATTGGAGTGCAAGTTGTTCTTTGCATAATTGTGTTATAAACTGCCCAGAGAGTGCTCTAGCACTATGGGGTGGTATGTAAATTGAAACAGCAGCAACAACAATCTCTCTCTGTGTGTCTCTCTGTCTCTCTGATTACTTCACTAAGCAAGGTAACAAGAACATTTGATACATATGCATGTGTGGCAGACAATTGTTTTGTTGTTTTAAACTGGAATCCTAGTACTGCTGTTTTTGGATTGGATTATTTCAAAATATTTTAATATTTTTATATATACAGTATATACTGTATATGTGTGTGTGCGTATATGTGTGTAATAAAAATATTATCAGATCTTGAAATAATGTACCGTAGCTTATATATAGCTCAGTGAGTTGGGTACCTGGTGGCAAAGCCAATGGTCACACGTTCAGTTATCCACTGTGCCTCCTGGGTGAAGAGCCAGGTTGTGTAACTACCCTATATCTAGGAAACCGTGGAAAGGTTCAGTATAAGTGAGAATCAACTTGGTGGCACTTAATAATTATGTATTCATGATAAGAAAGGAAAGAGGAGGGAGGGGAAATCATAGATGGCTCCCTGCAATCTTAGCAATGGAGATTAAAATGTAGGGAAGAGAAGCTGTCTAACAAACTAGAAGGATCTGTTGCAAGGCAGAAAATGGAGGACAAAGTCCTGAGAAGTGAATCCAGTGAGCGTATTGATAAAGCTGAATCAGAAAGTAGTGATAAAGCTGAAGCAGAATCTGGAGACAAAACGTTACAGCCCTGGACAACAAAGTAAAGAGAGACTGCATGGGGTAGATATCTGACAGCCTGCATCACAGAGGGTGAACAACGGAATGTCACCTCATTGAGGGACCAGGACAACATTACAGTGCTGTACAGGTTAGTATCCAGAACTGGAGTGCCATTAAGTTATGTAATTCAATGTTATGAAAATTGTGTATCTTTCAGGAAAGCTATGTCTCTGTCTGTGTTTCAAGTTGTGTTGACTTCAGACTCCCTACAGATTATAATCTGCAATTTGCACCAACCATTCATGTGTAAATACAGCCGCACATGCTAGGGAATGAAGAATGGAAAGAAGGACAGAATACACTCAAACACAGATAAAACAATTCTATAAAATGACTTCTCATTGTATTGCCATTTCTGGCAATGTCATTTTTTAATCATATCAGGTTGATTGAAAACTAAAGGATTTGCACTGATTTTCTGGAAAACTGTTACAACTACAGTTCAGGTAGCATTGAGAGGATTTAAAAAATAACTTCACATTAATATAGTCCTCATAACATTCAGTCTTCTGTTACTGTGACATATTTTAAAGCACATGTAATTGCTAGGTAGCAGAACTGCTTTTGTTCTTTTAATTTCTTGTTGCCCTTTATGATTAACAAGCATGGTATTATAAGAGTTTTGACATTTAAATCAAGCCCCACATGTGGCATGCGAGAAGTATTCTTCAGTTTAATGGAATGCTGAACCTTTCAATGATTTTCCCCCTACTTTTTTATGGTACACAATGCCTTAGGCCAAACCAGACATGGTGTTAAAAGAGTCTTTGCATTTAATGTGCAGTTTTTAAAAATGTACATAGCTTCTTGGCCTTTTGGCTAAGATCAAGTGTAGTATTAAGTATAGTACATAGCATCAATAGAGGGTAGTTGTAGACAGCAGGCAGAATGAGAATTTAATTATTTATTCTTGCATTTCTGAAATGATCTTCACTGAAATTATTATTGGCACTGAGAAGAAGTCCTGTTACAATCTCATGAATGACCAAACACTAATAGTTCATGTTATTTGACTTTTATAAAAAGTGCATGTGAAATGCAACATGCATTTAATTTAGTCTGGGCCTTAGCATGTCTTTGTTTGTATTTCTTCTCCCCAGTTGCAAATTATAATTCTATGGAAAACAGCCCTGTTATCTAATTTATGGACAGAAGTGAGGGATGGCACATAGCAAAATTCTAAATTAATCCACCAGGAAAGATTTCCAAAATCCAGCTTAGTGTAAGTGACGCACATAAATATATTTGCCATGATCCAGCCATGCATGTCAGCATTCAGATCCCCTTTCTGGATCTTGATCAAAAGAAAGTGCTGTACAAGAGAAAATGCCCTGTGTTTGGCAGAGGGTGTGTGAGAGTGCAGGCCACGTACAAGTGATTATTGGTTCTCATAACCTGATCACCTACTTATTGGGAGCACACATTGAATCTCTTCCTTTCCACGACAGGTGGTCAATACTACCCCATTTGGAAGCTTAGAAATCAGTTTTACGAGTAGGGGAAAACTCAAGAGGAGTTGTTGTTACCTGCATATCTACAAATGCATCTCCAGATTTGGCACTGTATTCTATACAAAACCTCAGTTTAATCAGAAAGAAGAATTATTGGCAGTTAAGGGCAAAAATTAAAGGTAGCTGCGAACAGAAGTATCCTGACAAACTTGATTCCACTTTGTTGTTTCCCTTTTTATTTAACTTACACGATGCTGTATAGAAAGAGAATCATTAAAACCACTTCAAACATCAGAGACTGGATGGATGCTTAAAATTGCCCTACAGTGCCGTTATTGTCACAATGTGAGCTGTCTTCATATATTGCTTATGTTGCGGGTATCAGATTTTTTACAATAAGATCCCAAAGAGGATGTCTACTTCAGCAGCAACAAAAAGAGGTCAGAAGAGATCTGTATAAAAACTGTGTATGGTGATCTACATGTACAGATAAAAATTTAAACAGTTTTTACAATCTAGAGTTGAATGGACAAAAGATGTCCCTCCAGAGATTGTTGGACTATAACTCCCAAGCATTCCTCACCATGGGCTACACTGGCTAGTTCTGTTTGGAGATGCAATCCAACAACATATGGGAGTAGGGGTAATTTGTCAGCTCGTGGTTTGATTCTAGATCTTTAGAAGACAAGTGACCACTTTGCCTACCTAAGTGTTTTGGAACAATAATGCAGTGCACCATAATGAAAAAGACTAACATGTTTTCTCAAAGGCTTTTACGGCTAGGATAGTTGTCCTGAAAAGGACAAAAGCTGGTCCCACAGCTATAAATACTAAACTATCCAACAAACTGCAACAGAGCACAGACAGAGTTCTGACTCCTGTCCTCTGAAAATGCCGGCCACAGAGACTGGTGAAACGTTAGGAAGGAAAGCCTTAAGAACACAGCCAAAGAGCCTGAAAAACCCACAACAACCAACTAACATGTTTGCCTGCCCCATCTACTGCACAGATGCTAACAGTTGGCAGGTACCTTCAGGAGGATTTTTTGCCTTTTTTATGGTGCTTTATCTGGACATGGTCTAGAAATGCCTTGAACTAGAAGAGCAGTTCCCAACCTTTGGATCTTAGATGCTGTTGAATGTGATGCCCAGAAGCCCCAGCCAAGATGGCCAGTGATTAGGTCCAAGTACAGCAACCTCTGAGGACCTACAGATTGAGAACTAGTCAACTAGATCACTGGTTCTTAACCTTGGGTTACTCAGGAGTTTTGGACTGCAACTCCCAGAAGCCTTCACCACCAACTGTGCTGGCTGGGGTTTCTGGGAGTTGCAGTTCAAAAACATCCGAGTAACAAAGGTTAAGAACCACTGAACTAGATGATAGCCTCTCACAGCTTTGCAAATATTGTTCTCTGTAAAGCCTGGGGACACTTCATACAGTAGACTGGGAATTGCCGAATCCATTTTGATTATTCAGTAGCTGATTCATTTTAACAGCTGATCACATGGTGACACAACCATATGAATAAATGCTGACAGTCTTGTTGAGCTGATAAAGCTGATCTTTTTTTACAACATAATTGAGAATTTTATAAAGAACCCAAAATATTAACTAGATGCTATTGCTAATATGCACGATCAGTAGCTACTTCAAAAAATGGGAATGTAGTTGTTAATTTTTGTTCTGTGTCTCTGGGAGATGCATTCAGCAATCCATACGACATTTCTGCTTTCTTGTTCCTTCAGTTTTACGTAGGCATAGAAGACTCCAAAATGGAATTGGTTGTTGAATGCCAGGACATTCATTTTGACCTTAAGAAAAATATACAAGAAGAAATACATCTCATTCAGAATTTTTAAAAAACCTCATTATATCTTTCCCTCACCAGGATTTCCAAGTGCTTTACAAACAGCAAATAGTAACATAGTAGCATCAGTAAATGAAACACTGCTTTCTCTTTTCTGAGTAAGAGCTAAACCAAACCTGGGCAAAGTGCAGCCCAAGGGCCACATACAGCCTGTGAGCCGCTCCTGTCCAGCCTGCCAGTTTTCACTCCAGTCCAGTGTTCAAGCACTTGTTCAAGCCCAAGACAGACTGGATTTCTCTCACTGAACAAGTTGAACATCAAAACCATTTATAGCCTTTTGTCTAAAGTTGATCAGTTGCTAATCTTTTATTTTTAAGTAAAGTTGGTTCGGCCCCCGAACACAGTTCAGACTTTTCATGTGGCCCCCCTTATAGAAATTAATTGCCAACCCCTGAGCTAGACTGAAGTAGAGCTGCAGCCAAGGCTTTCTTGCAACATTTTGAACTGTAAGAACATTAAAGAAGATATTCAAAGAAGAAATGAATATTTCCTTAATATGCATATTTTAATGCACTTTTTAAGAGTTGTGAAACATATGGCAAAATTCTCAAAATGGAGGACTTTGACACATGACCGTGTTCAGTTCACAATTAACTACACAAAGGCTCTTAATATAGTAAGTTTGCACAAAAAAATAAACCTAGACAATTTCTTCCACACTCCTAGTATTAAAATTTTAGCTCTTCAATTCAAATAAACACATGGCCATCTCCATCAGTACTTTCCATCACAACTGATTCTGAGTAAGTTGAAATAAATGAATGCAGCAAAGAAAGAGCTTCAAAACAAAGAACACCTCACCTCATGTTCAAAAAAAGCATCTTCTAATGTTTTTTCACCTGTACCACTGCCAACGGCTTCAAAGCAAGCCTTGTATTCCTGAAAGTACAAAGTATCATCAATGCTGTTAACGCAGCATACATATACTTTTTCTTTCTGTGTAGAAGCAAATCTTTTGTAAATAGGTTCTTTACATGTGCAGGTCTAATCTATATATGCTCTTTCTTGCCTCTCCATTAATAAGCTTCTTCAGAATGTTTTTTAAATTTTGTTTTCATGAGTGTGGAGGGATAGCTCATAACAAGGACAGAGCACCTGCTTTGCCTATATAAGGTCTCAAGTTTATCATCTGACATCTTCAGATTATGGGGGGAGAGGGAATACTACTGTCTCAAGCACTGAATGCCTGTGAACTCAGGCATGTCTATATTAGCAAATTGCTTTAGACTAAGCAATATCACCCCAACATGATTTTCAAGATTTGCAAGAAGTATGCATGATTACCCGAAGCATCCATGCACAGAATGGAACATGAAGATACAGCCACATGAAATTAACTGGTTGAAAGCTGGTGTTGGGTTTCCTGTAGCTATGATCTTTCTTGCACTTTGTTGGGTTCTTATTTACAAGACAAGCGTCATCTGGGAATGACAGAGAATGCAATTCATGGTTGGACTGCACCCATTTCCAGACAAATCTGGGTCTTGGATTTGACTTCTAATGCTACTAGGCCAACAGGGAGCACTGAGTGATTCTCAGGAAGAAGACATCAGTAGCATCATTTCCCTTTTGGTCCTTTTGTTATATGTGGATGGACACTGGAATAATTTTATGGAAAATCACTATAGTGAAGGCTTCTACCTCCTTTTACCATGAGAGGTCTCCATAAAAAGGATGTAGGGGTAAGACCTTTAGCAGTCAGCTTGGCTTTGGGACAGACAGGTCTGTCCCACTCCCAAGGACCTTAACCTAATGACTTGGCAGGCCCAAGTACTGCCCTTCTGGTAGTATCTCCCAGGATGCAGACTGGTACATCAGCCAGACTGCCCAGTGACTGGATCTGCATTCTATACTGTTTTAATTATTGTCAGGTTTAACCAGTCCAGTTGTGGTCACCCTAAGCCATCGCTGACTATGAGTGATTGATGCCCTTTTCCTTGGTCCCCTAGGTACAGCTATGCAAATTCATCAAATTTTGACAAGTTAACTCCTCCAAATTCACCTCACCTCATGCTAAATCTTCATTGCCTGGCTATGCTTCTTGGCAGTGTTCATCTTCCCCTGAGCACAAGGCTATGTGGGTTGTAACCTTTATATCTTCAGGGCAGGACCACAAGGATTAGGGTTGCCAAGTCAGCAGCACTCAAGTCATAGAGATTTCAAGGGCCAAACTAGAGACCTAGCGGGCCATATGGATACTTATTACAAAGATGCTAAATCTTCATTGCCTGGCTATGCTTCTTGGCAGTGTTCATCTTCCCCTGAGCACAAGGCTATGTGGGTTGTAACCTTTATATCTTCAGGGCAGGACCACAAGGATTAGGGTTGCCAAGTCAGCAGCACTCAAGTCATAGAGATTTCAAGGGCCAAACTAGAGACCTAGCGGGCCATATGGATACTTATTACAAAGAAAAGGGTTCAGGCATGTATAACTACTTCTGGACCAGCTGGTTGTAGAAATGGGCATGAAATGAATCAATTAAAAGTTCCAGAGTCTGAAGTACTAGTCTAATACTTCAGTCCAGAGGCAGGGGGTAAACATGTTTTGCTGCCTTTCTGCATCTGAGTAGGTTCAAAATGTGCCCAGCAGATTCAGTGATTCCTGCATTCTCACTAGAGAGCATATCCTGCCCTGCCATACCAATAGGACATAATGCATGAGGAGTTCTTCCAGATTCTGCACTACTGTCATGGCTTAGTGAAGGTAGGAAGAACAACCTTCAGAACATGGCCAAAGAGCCCAAAAAAACCCACAACAACCATTAGATCCCAGCCGTGAAGCCTTTGCGAGTACTCTGAAGTACTAGTCTAATATTTCAGTCCAGAGGCAGGAGATAAAATTTTTTGCTGTCTTACTGCATCTGAGTAGGTTCAAAATGTGCCCAGCAGATCCAGTGATTCCTGCATTCTCAGTAGAGAGCATATCCTGCCCTGCCATACCAATAGGACATAAATGCATGAGGAGTTCTTCCAGATTCTGCACTACTGTCACGGCTTAGTGAAGGTTTACTATTGTCACATAGCCTTATGCAAGAAGAAGGCTTAGAAGTTGTGGCGCAAGTGCTCTACTCTTTGCCTGTCTCCAAACCACAAAAAGGACCCAAGCATCCATTGCCTCTCTTCCCAATTCCCTGGCTTTTTTTTTGTCTGCTACAACTAAAGAAGCAAAATGCACATGAAAATGTCTTCATGTTAAGCCTGTACATTCTGGGAGGTTGGTGTCTAAGTTTTAAAGCCACCCCACCCCAATCAAAACTTTCCCCTCTCTTATGCCTTTTGCCCTGAGATTTCTCTTCTTCTCCAGAACTGGAAAAGCAGAGCAGTTCCCTGACATTCCAGTGGTGTTCTCACATCTGGCAACTCTAAATAGTGGTTGGGGAGAGCAGGCAGTGGAATTTATACCCCAAGACCCTCCCGAAGACACATGGCAAAAAGCAAGGCAGGTAGAGATCTAACTTATTTGGAGATCTCCACATCAATCATACAAAGCACAATTCAGTTCTATGGACACCTACTCTATAGCAAGCTCTATTAGTATCCCAGGCTACAAACAAGAACTACATCATGCAATAGTTTCCCTGGCTTTATATAACTTTATATTTTTGGATAAGGTCAGAGATTACTGTCAAATACTGTGTTTCCCTGAAAATAAGACAGGCTCTTATAATGATTTTTGTTCCAAAATGGATTAGGGCTTATTTTCAGGGGATGTTTTGATTTACAGTCATGTCATCATCTTCTGGTTGCTGCACAATGCTGCAGAATGGTGGAGGGCAGTGCTTCATGTAACTGGGGCTTATTTTTGGGGTAGGGCTTATATTACAAGCATCCTGAAAAATCATTTGTTGTTGTTTAGTCGTTAAGTCGTGTCCGACTCTTCGTGATCCCATGGACCAGAGCACACCAGGCCCTCCTATCTTCCACTGCCTCCCAGAGTTTGGTCAAATTCATGTTGGTAGTTTCGATGACACTGTCCATCCATCTCATCCTCTGACGTCCCCTTCTCCTCTTGCCTTCACACTTTCCTAACATCAGGGTCCTTTCCAGGTAGTCTTCTCTTCTTATGAGATGGCTAAAGTATTGGAGCCTCAGCTTCAGGATCTGTCCTTCCAGTGAGCACTCAGGGTTGATTTCCTTCAAAATGGATAGGTTTGATCTCCTTGCAGTCCAGGGGACTCTCAAGAGTGTCCTCTAGCACCGCAATTCAAAAGTATCAATTCTTTGAAGGTCAGCCTTCATTATGGTCCAGCTCTCACTTCCATTCATCGCTACTGGAAAAATCACAGCTTTGACTATTAACAGTTAACAGTTAAGTTATGAAAAATCATACTAGGGCTTGTTTTCAGGATAGGTCTTATTTTGGGGGGAAACAGGGTATGTGGGCCAAATGCAGAAGTACCATGGGTCACATCTGGGATAGAAACTCTGGCTGAAAGGGGTTGTGTTCCAACAATTGCCTGAGCTTGCTCACCGGCCCTATAGCAAATGGTGAGCTGTTTATTGACCAGCTTGGAGAAGCTACTTTTTCAGATTGCAACTCCCCAGATTCCCAGCTACCCACACTAGTAGAGGATTGTGTGAGCTGTAATCTAAGAAGTGCCCTTTCCAAGCTCAGACCTACTGGGACAGTTAGCTTTTTGTGTCTCGACCAGTTAAGAGCTATACAAAATTAGAACAGACAGATCGGTTTCTCCCTTGGCTATTGCCCCACATCCTTCTCTTGGTCAGACACACTGAAAATCAGCACTCTGTTTGCGTCATTTTGTTTAAAACCCGGCTGAACAAATACCTAATGTTCTTTCTTTGGCAATGCACACTATGGAATGTGGTAGACACAGTAAGCTTTTGTTAGGAACCACCAAGTATTTACATACAGCGTAGTAGTCTGCAATGCCCTTTACTTGCTCATAATCCTCTGCATTGGCAAGCATGTCTAAGCCTTCTGGGTACAGTTTTCCACACTTTGGATACAGTTTTTGTCTGTCTTCTTTACTCAGCTCAGTCCCAAAAGAATTGATGGTGATGATGAAGGCCCGGCGGTCTGCTTCAAACTAAAATAAAAATAAAAACAATTTTCATCAGTTTTTGATAATACACTTTTAATCATTAAAGAACACCTGTACAGGTATACTATTAAATGAAGTAGAACTAATGTCACCAAAATACTCTAAAAGAATTCACATATTTGCATATATTTTCTCTTACTATGATGGAAGGCAGATTTGACTTTGAATGTGATGTTTCTTACATGATGTGTGAGGTGTATGTGTATGTATTTCTTCATAACATGAAGGTAAAGTAAATTTCTTCCCAGCTGGGAATTCACATTATATTCTACTAATGAACAATAATGTAAATTGGCTTTAAAGAAATGCAAATACCATTAGCACTGTGCAGTGATGGGCAAACATTTATACAAGTGAAACATATCAGACCCAGATTATGAACAAAACTTGGAAAAAAAAATGGGGGGGGGGCACAGCTCCAAAAGGGACGACTAGCCAGTCTTACTGCTTCTAGGGGTTGTGGTCAAAATCAGATAATCTTCCTAATGTCTTATTAGGAAACAATGGCACTGAGCCACCCTTTGTCTGCAATTTAGTTTGATTTCTTTTTGGACCAGGGAGTGTGAAGCACCACCATAGCATGGGAAGTTCAAGCAGGAATGCAAAGATCAATTAATATTAGATCTATGGTATCATTTCCAGTCTAACGAGTTCAGGAAATCCACAAATATCTGCTGCTGGAACCTATGCCAGTTATAGCACTTGTGTAGCAGGTTGGGTAGCCAAATGTAGAAGACTTGGCTCCTGTAGTAGCTGTATCAGAAAAGGGACCCTCAGCAAATACACCTGGTATAACAAGCCGTCCCTTCTGAGAGTCTCTCTTCTACACAATTGCAGGAGCCCTGGCCTGTTTTGTATCCAGCCACCTAAGCTGCTGTTCGATAGTATCCTTTCTCATTTGCTGCTGTGTCTCAGATTGAGCCTTGCTCCCTGTATTACTCAATTCATATTTACTTATTTAATGTATTTGTACATCAGATGATAGATCACAATGACATAGAAAGAAAATAAAATCTTGCCTTGTAACAAAACCAAGCAATAAAGCTGCACTTGAGTTAAGTCACAGAACTTGAAAAGCCTGTGATAATGGACTTGGCCTCCTGCCAAAAGATTAACAGAATAAGCAATAATGCATTTAGCAAGTGATACAGTTGGGGAGGGGGAACAGAACAAACAGACAGCCACAAGTTTGTTTTTCCATTTTTGTCTTTTCTGGGTGTAGATTCAGATTGGTACTCTTAAGCCTCCTTCCTTCTTTCTCAACTAATCTGATTCTTCTTGTTTCTTAGCTGGACAGAGCAATAGCTCTTGTAGCATGGATACTCAACCAGTTACTATAAATAAGATGGATTTCCTTAACAGAACGAAATTTCAGCCTTTTTGTCTTCTTATACAACCTCAACAGAAGGCCTCTGTCAATGCAGTCACCACATGATCCTAAGACCTCAGCTGAGCAACAAAAGGGAGGGGGGAGAGATGAGTAGGACACCAGACCGCTTTCTCTATTCATCAGCCACCTCCTCTCAAATGGAGGAAACTCCAGGAGAGTACTTTTCAAAAGATAAGAGGGAGGTCTCTGAAGCAGCAGTCACATATTAGTTAGTCAACACAGTTAGAGTGAGGCATATTTTGCTATTACAGATATAATGGAATGTTCACATTGGGGCTTCATCTCAAGAGAGATGATCACTGAGTGCCCTTAATGATCAATGAAAAGACCATTGGATCTTTTTATCACCCATAGAGTATGAAGAGGGCAGTGGAGTATGTGGCCTTCTGCATGTCCTCAGACTGCAATTCCCAGCAGATCTGCTGGCCAGCATAGGCAAGGGTGAGCACTGATAGGAGTTCAGCAACATCTGAAGGGCCTCCATATGCTTTCTATTCTCATATAGCTACAGTAGATATAAGAAATATGTTAAAAACACAAACTTCTCCTCCATCATTTATTCAACTGGGCAACTCTGGGCAGGCCATCAACTGAATGGTGTAGGATAGGGCAGAGGTCATCAACCTCTGGTTCCTCCATCATTTATTCAACTGGGCAACTCTGGGCAGGTCATCAACTGAATGGTGTAGGATAGGTCATCAACCTCTGGTCCACAGCCCAGTGCCAGTCCATGGCTTGAGCTGGACCAGGCTGCAGAGACAGACCTCCCGCTCACCCCTGCATGCACTCTCCTCTCCACAGCTGATTTGTGCACACACGTGTGTGTCAGCGCCGGCGTGAGCACTCCCCCACCCCTTCACGCATGCGCCTGAGTGCCCAAGCGAAGCACGTGCATGCCCACATGAGTGCGCGTGGGCGGGCATGTAGGTGTTCCTGTGCATGCATGAAGGGGTGGGGAGCGCTCATGCCACCACTGATGGGCACACACACACTCCCCCACTGCTTCCCACATGCACCCACAAGCAGGTGCACGCCCACATGAGTGCGGGGGATGCCCTGCCTTCCTCAGAGGCTCAGCCAGTCCACGGTCCCAAAAAGGTTGGAGACCACTGGAGGGTCCAGAAGGACATTTGGACAAGAAAAATCCATTTGCAGAGCTGGCTGCTCTGTTCGATCTTTATTTTTCTCTTCCTGTTTTTTTCCAGACATAAAAAGGGTGGAAGGGCAGCAATGAATGAAATAGAAAAAATAATCAAATGTAAGGATGTGTCACTGGAGACCAAGATCATCCACACTCATGTATTTCCAGTCACCATGTATGGGTGTGGAAGCTGGACAGGAAAGAAAGCTGATGGAGAAAAAATGGATTCTTTTGAAATACGGTGCTGGAGGAGAGCCAGGCAGATACCCTGGATGGCCAGAAAGACAGACAAATAGGTCCTAGAGCAAATCAAGCCTGGACCGTCTCTGGAGACAATTATGTTAAAGCTGAGGCTGCCTTACTTCAGGCACATCATGAGAAGGCAAGACTCTCTGGAAAAGACAATAATGCTGGGAAAGGGGGAAGGCAGTAGAAAAAGAGGAGGACCAAATGCAAGATGGACTGACTTCCTAAAGGAAGCTGCAGGTTTGAGATTACAAGAACTGAGCAGGGAAGTTGAGGATAGGGACTGCTGTGATCGCTCATTCATTGGGTCACTATGAGTCGGAGGTGACTTGAAGACACACAACAACACAGGGCAATGCGGGAAGCCTATGCTCTCTTTAATTCCTGTCCTCTCTCTCCCCTGCTCTTTCTCTTCCCTGGATCTGAAATTAGTAGTGCTATGGCTACAGAATGGACTTTGGTTATTTAGACTTTGCAGCAGGAAAGGCAAGGAAGGTTAATTTCTGTGGCGAAATAGGTCCTCTCCCTCAGCTTCACCGTTTCCCCCTCTTCCTCCACATGCACTCATGACATGCACCATCTGTGGGTGTGCTGCATGAAAGAAGATTTGGCATGAAAGAGTTAAAAAATCACTAGAATGCGGGTACATGGAGAATTTATAATGCACAATGTAAGCATTACAACAATGGGACCTTCCTGGCCCAGGATGAATGTGCAGCAAATTAAATTAAAGAAGAGACAGATATTGATGTAGTTGCCAGCAGGTCTGGAGCAAATTCGGAAGTATCAGAACTGCTATATTTTTCACCCCAAAACTATTTTCTTTGACTTTGTTTTGGAAAGAATTTATTACAATTGTATTCTAAAATCGTAACAATCTTCAGCAAACACAAACAAAAGCCTTACAAGGAAGATGGATTCATGTGGCCTGATGTTCTTTATTCTTCTCCTTCATAGATACAATTAACATGAGACATCACAATTCTTCCAAGTTTGTGGGATTCCTTTTAAAAACACTCTGTAGGCATTACCTTGTCATTTAAAAAAGTACTTAACAGGCACAGCGTGGGCCCTACTGTTAGGCAGAGTGGGGCAACTGCCTCTGGCAGCAGGTGCCGGGGAAAGGCAGCAGCAACATCGAAGCAGTCATTTCTCCTGAGCCTCTCTGTGTTGTGGGCAGAGATGTCTGTGCCTTTCATCTTTTCTGTACCTCCTATACTAGTCTGCCATGCAGTTGCCTGTTGTTGAGGATATGATCCAATCACTAGTGTTGAAGCCAAAATCAACTGCCTGCCCAGTTCACTTTTGCATGGGAATTTTGGTGAGTGGCTGGGCAGGTACCCTTTCTTTTGCCTCGGTCAACAAAACCTCTTGGACTGATCCTGTTCGTATAGCCTATCACCACTTGACCAAAGTGTTAATAATTCTTGTGAATCTATGTTTAGGATTAGGATGAAAATTTTTCACCCTCAGGGCAGTCACAGACATTATAGAAAGCCTATTATTAGAGCTTGAATATACAGTAAGATGTGCTTCAGGTAGAATTAAATTTTGACATAAATTATTTCTTTTTTTAAAAAAAAATGCCCATGGTGGAGTGTGTGTGTCAGCTGTTATCAGCTTGGGTCTCCAGATGTTCTTGGATGAAAGCTTCCCAAAGCCTTTATCACTAGCTGTGCCAGCCAGGATTTCTGGGAATTGTAGTCCAAGAACATCTGGGAACCCAAAGTTAGGAACCACTGAATTACTGAATAAAATGAGATAGGAGGAAAGGTTTTTATCTCCCTTACACATGCATAATAATCTTGGCCCAGAACCTGAAAAACTGATGAAGGCCTTGTTCTACTTTAGAATTTGGTTTAAAAACAGATATCTTAAACTGCATGGCAGGACTTTTAGTTTTTTAAAAATGAAAAAAAAACACAATTAGATGTTTTTCGGTAGGCCATGGAGGAATTGTGATGATGAAAACCAGTGGCAATTGGCTCAGCCCTGCATCAGTTAAAGGTACCGTAGGGCAGTTTCCAGTGACATCTTTGGCTACCAAGCTTGACTTACCTCCAAAAGAGGGCACATTATATCTGCTGTGGTGCCACCTTGCTTTTTGCAGAAAGTGTAGAAGGCTTCAAGATAAGCCTAAAGAATGGGAGAAAAATATAATGTATTCACACCTTGTTTGAAATATCACTGATACGTTTTATCTTGGAGTGCTTGAAAATTATGAATAACATCCTGTTTCCTGCATGAGGAACACTAAGCTAATATGTTCTCAACACTGTTCCCCCCGCATTAACAATACATATAACCTATCCAGCTTACATCACGATCCTGATCATCTTAGAACTGTAGAGCTAGCTGGAAGGAAAGTCCAGCCCTATCCAGAAGACACAGTGGGGAATCAAACTCTCAAGCTTTGGCTGCCTAAACCACTGAGCTATCCAGCAGGTCTGGCCAAACAGGAATTGCTTCTGTGCCTGTCACTGAGGGCCAAATTAAAAGTGGGATTAGAGATGTAAGGAGACATTGCCTTGTTCTATGTTGTAGCTGTGCAGTCCACTGGTGTCATTTGGACTGGAAGTACCCTTGGACAGAATGGGACTTACTTCTGAGGAAAGCTGCCTAGCATTGTATTGAAAGGGTATCTGGTACATCTTTCTGCGCAATCTGATGAATCATCTCCTTACATACAGTGGGTGCTTGTACATTTGATCACAGGAGTAAATGGGAAGAATTAACTCCAGGCAAGGAGGAAGAAGCATAAAGTGATTGTTCTTTGTGTTATCTCACTTTGTTGTTGTTTAGTTGTTAAGTCATGTCCGACTCTTCATGACCCTATGGACCAGAGCACGCCAGGCCCTCCTGTCTTTCACTGCCTCCCGGAGTTGGGTCAAATTCATATTGGTAACTTCAGTGACACTGTTCAACCATCTCATCCTCTGTTGTCCCCTTCTCCTCTTGCCTTAACTCTTTCCCAACATCAGGGTCTTTTCCAGGGAGCCTTCTCTTCTCATGAGATGGCCAAAGTATTGAAGCCTCAGCTTCAGGATCTGTCCTTCCAGTGAGCACTCTGGGTTGATTTCCTTCAGAACAGATAGGTTTGTTCTCTTTGCAGTCCAGGGGACTCTCAAGAGTCTCCTCCAGCACC